TTCATAGAGATTAACTATCAAAATTACTGGACTTGACTTAATTATATTCTAGATTTCTCAAGAAGTATAATTTTCAAAAAAATAGAATTGCCTTCTCTCGAGGAACAAATCTCAAGTATAAATCCTCAGTAATAAAAACTAGTAAATTGCCTTTTATAATTCAACTCAATGATTTTCTTAGAAAATTACCATCACCATTCCAACAATCACATCCCTAAATGATTTAGCTACTCATAATGAGAACTTCGAACACACATGTATCATAAGAAGGCATATTTCAACTAATAGTAAAAAGTAGACAAAACTTACTTTAAGAGATCTGAAGAACGGGAGGTCCGGGCTACAATTTGCTCCGTGAAAACTCCAATTAATAATACTAATATAAAATATGAAAGTAACTTGTAATATCTAGGCTAAAAGAGGAGAAATTCGGACTTTTTGGGGAAGAAGAGGCGCTGTGCAGCGTGTAAAATCGGAGAGGGGGAGTGCTATATTTATAGGACTGGACGCGAAGCATCCAACCCAGCCGTCCAGATCCAAAGCGTCCAAAGTTGGACGCCTTACACGACCCGTCCATTCGCAGCTCGCCACGTGGCTTTCGTGATGCCCAATCATCGCCAAGCGTCCAAGGGGAAGTGTCCAACCTGCAAAGCGTCCAGGGTTGGACGCTTCGGGCCTTCTCCTGTGGGCTTTTTCCGCGGCTTGATCCAATTCATGCCCAATTTCAAGTTTGCTCAGCAGTTTGTTTCAGCTTCCTCCGATATTCTCATGATAAAATTCTCAGTTAAAAACTTCTTTTTTCTTTCAAATATAAGTAGAAAAATCAACAATCAAGACTGGACAAACTTTAAACCAATTATTATTCCTTAAAGAACAAATCAAAGATATTGTTCAGTTTAACATAAAATTATGTACTGCTTATCACTATTTTTGTGCAATAATGCTTAAAATATGTAGAATAAAATAAGAACAAAATGAACTTATCAAGGTGCAGGACAGCTCGAGATTTGTTGAGACCTTTACGACCTTAGCTTCCTCCATTTTAAACGCTTGACACTAACACTTTAATATTCATTATTAGAATATAATGAATTATGTTACATTTGCAGGTGAAGTTTTCATTAATCTAGCTTTGAATTATCAATGTGCGTGAAAATTGAATGTGTTTTGCCACCCATTTTAGTATCTAATGCCTAAAAACAGAAAAATTCAGGTTGATCATCCAGATATCTGCGACGGAACCATCTGTTGCTGTTTCTGTCACAGATCTGCGACGGAGGAGTCCATTGCTAATTCCGTCGCAGATCAGCAACGGTTCCTAATTTCCGTCGTAGATTACATTTGATGAAAAAAGGGAAATTCCGTTGCAGGTCTGTCGCAGGTTTTAAATCTGCCACAACTTTTCTGCGACGGAAAGATTTCGTAGCAGATCCGTTGCAGAATGGAAATCTGCCACCGAATTTCAAAATCTGCCACGAAATTTGTCTGTTAAGTTGCAGATCGGTAGTTTTCTTGTAGTGAGATGGCGGCACGTACAACACAACAAAATTAAATGACGGGAGATAAAGGTTTTTCCATTAAATAGCTCAAAGAGAGGAATTAATGGGCATTATCCCTGACCTAACAACAAAACGTTAAAGATACGGGAGATAAAGACTTTCATTAAATAACTCAAACAGAAGATTACATTCTTTTGGGTTCCAGTAATGAGCTTTGTCCCTGATCTACTTCTATTCTACTACTGGAAAAATCTGAAGGCAAGGCAGATCAACAGTTCTGGAATCTAGAAGAGTGCATTCGCTGACCCTTGTTTCCCTGCCTGAACCAGAAAAGAACCCCAGGGCGGGGAGGTGT